ATCACGATATAACATATAATATATATGGATTCAGTCCCATAGAGTATCGAAATCAAGACTCCGCCTAGCTGCTTGAGATAAAAAAAAGCACAGGGGAATAGCTAACCCGTTGACTAGTCAAAAAGTCATATTATTACGTCAACTATTTTGGTATTAGTCTTAGCACAGCAATATACGAGTGTATAATAGACGAAGGAATGCGAACAGCTTTATGGAAAGAAAAAATCACATAGAAGTCTGAACAAACCCAGCCTCGAACATGCTGGAATATTCCCCGTTCTTACCACTTGCGTTGCGTAAACTTTGCTCCCATCTTATAAATGATTTATTTTTAGATTTATTGACTTGCTAGTTGCAATAGACGTTCTTAAATCTACTCAGAATTTGATGCTGACCTAGAATATATACATTTTGTGGGCTCTCGGAAGCTTGTCGCTTTTTAAGAGGACTACTTTGACGAATAAACTCGTACTTTGCAAAGAAAAGAAAAAATGTGTTTCCTTACTTAATCTTCGGAGTTGTTGATCGATGTATTATCTATAATTTAATGTCGGTATCGTGATACAATAATACTATCAAAGCGTGTCTATCCCTTGCCAAACTTTGACTGTTTGCGTGATTCTAGGACGCCTTTGTTTTGTATGCATAAAGGTTTATAATCGGTGCTTGTAAACGTGCAACTATTTTGGCGTGTAAAAGCTTGAATACTGTTTTGTTCTTCTTCTTTCAATTTATTTATTTTGATTTAATGATTGAATATTTTCTCTCTATTTCGCAGCTTAATTCAAAAACGTAGCTTTATACAAAAGTATTATTATTATTATAATTATTATTAATTTCGCCACAGAAATAAATTCTAAGACTAAACTCTTAAAAGCATTAGCATCTAAGGCTATTGGCTTTTATTAAAAACTCTACCGCACTTGAGATTCGAACCCACGACAATTGACTTGCTAGTCGAGATTCCTCCCCTTCGGCTACTCAGGCGGATATCTATACAAAAGTATGTATACGGTAAGGCCCTAGATTAGTTTGAACTTGGTTGGTAAGTTAAATAAATGAAAATAAAAATGTCTACAAGGGATTCTAACGGTGAAATAATTCATTTTAAAATAAATTTCATTCAGATTAGGAGTGGAAAACCGCGTTCCAAGAATGCTTTCGAAGTATCCAAACATATACAATGCTTCCGAATACTAAATATTTCATTTTATAACCTTCTACCTCATGCCCTTTGTCCGACAATTTCAAGGTCGAAACTGTTCGACCTGTTTCGTCCCGTCTGCCAACGGCAGAATCGCAAGTTTCACACATTGAATGTATCGAAATGATGCAGATATCGGCAAGAAAATGTATATTCCAACGACTAAACCCGTAACAAACGTCCAAACTTTCGGCCCCAAATTTCCAATTTTTTAGCAAAAGCATTGAAGGCTTTCAAGTCGCTCCCAGTCTCATATTCACCCAATTGTTGCCTCAGCGAAGATACACTAACTACTGCACTATTGTTCGGAACCGGTTATAATGAACATAAGTGCCTTCTAAAGGAATCTATAAGTGAATTAGAGAAGTTAGAAATCAACAACAAACTGCAATATCCAAGCAGCGGAAAACATTTTTCGCGAGTGTTCAAAGTTTCTGTTAGGCAAAAAAAAAATTTTTTTGTGAATTTATAGTGGTGTCACGCCTTAAAGGAACTGTGAAGTACAATTTTAAAAGTTATTATTTAAGATTACAGCACCTAACTTTGCTCGTCTTTATATTACGTCAGTTTTATGATACCTTCCCTGCTCTCTGCGCATGTTATGTTATGTAAAGTGTGCTTGCTTATCTTTAGTTAGCTTTATTTTACCGGTATTAGCTGACGTATGGAGTTAATAGGGTCAAAAACTTTACATTGGTAGAGATTAAGGTAAGTCCCTGCTGTTTTACATTGCGATCGCATAGGATTCTGTTGAGTAATTTTGCTCAAGCTGATAGTTACGTTTCGAGAAGTAGCTATGAGAGACAACGTTTTACATGTAGGATGGCCAAATGAAAGGCACTCAAGGACACATGAACATTAGTCCACCATACCATATAGTGTTTATGATCTCATCGAAGCATTGGTGAAATTTGGTTAGGCAATGTCATCGGCCAGTCTTGTAATCCTATGCCAAATATACTTCATCGACAAGAACGCGTTAGTACTGTTTGCATTACTTTAAAAATGGAAATTTTGTGTTAAAAGCCAAGACGTTGTAGGGGCTCGAAACAATTTAGGAGATGAAAACTTAGATGCATTATTCGTTGCAGCCATATCTCGCCAAAGAGAAAAATTATCAGTTGGACAATGCTCTGATAAGTACCATAAATGATGTGTGAAAAACAATGAGCTTAACTGTGCTCCTTCATCTTCCCTACACTTTGGCTGATATTTCCTAATTTTTGCAGGTAAAGGGTAGAGTCTTTCGTAAAGTTAATGTGCAAAATGAAGAAACATGGCTTAATTAATTCAGGGTTTCACGCTGATCAAGAATATATACTTTATAGGGTCTCTGAAGCTTCCTTTTTGGGTAGTACATGCATCATGAAAAAAAACAAAATGAGTGTATGCCCACCCTTCGACTTAATAACTTAATAACTTAATAAATTGTTATAAAGCGGTTTGAACATAAGGGACACAATAGCCATGAGGAACACAATGGCCATGCCTTTTCAGTTCAATAGCTGCAAGAACTTTAATATGGGTTTGTGTCGGTTTTATTCTGAAATGTATGTATATGCGTCAGAGACAAACGAAAACTTATCATTATTTTGTATTGGATGGATTGTTTACTAAAATATGGTTGGGGGTCCTGGGAAACACAAAACAAAGAAACCATAAAAAATTGCAAAAAAAAAATGTTTTCATATTCCAATATAATCTTCCTTTACTTCGTCAAACTTTTCCCAGCGATGTTCGATGACCTCGGTTCCTTGCTTAAAGAGAAGTTTTTTCGGATTTTTCTCTTCATTATCGCACGTGGGGAACGATTCAAACGTGTTGATTTTGGCAATCCTGTGTGAACAAATGCCTTGTCTTGATAAAATAACACTTCGTTTTTACCAAATACAATATTTCTTTTTAAATTCTCGTTCAACCCACACAAAAAGTTCACATAATGCTGGTCCTGGTTTGATTTTTTTTTTTGGGATATTTCCTCTGTTTGTCAGCAAATGGAACAATCTTCGCCTTCGTGGAACGTCGCGTTTCAAGTGTGAAATAAGAAACCCAAGATTCGTTCATGGCTTTTCGGTGTGGAACTATGATCGATTGAAACTTTCTATGTAATGATGCGGGTTTTGTTCCATTATGAGAAAGCACGGTGCCACTCTTCTGCATAGCCCTCTTAGAGTCAAATTTTGTATTGATATGCAATGTACAGTACTTTTTGAAATGCCTAGCACGTATGTTAATTCACGAACTTTCGAGGGTGGACTGTCAGCCGGGATTATTTTGGGCATTTGCTTCGCCATTGGTTTCGTTGTCCATTTATTTGGTCGACAACATCCGACATGGCAGCCTGTACGTCCTCATTTCAATTCTGCCGTGCAATATTTTTTCTTCCGAGAAGGAGACCAAACTCTCATATCATAGCTTTAATAGTGGTTTGACTAGGGTTAGCCCAATGAAGGAAAGACACTTTATGACGTTATAAACAGTAGACAATTTTTTTCTGCTTGTAAATTCACCGAAGGCTGTCAAATGCATACAAGACAAAAGAGAATCTTTAAATTTTCATCTTCAACTCTGCAGTTGATATTGTCAATCATAGCATTTTTTTTCGCATAACAATCGCTATATGTACTTCATATTGTGTATTTTTGGCACCACCTCCTGACTTCGTTTCAGCATTGTAACCTGCAACGCACAGTCACCTGAAAGCTCGTATTTATTTAGAGATGTTTGTTGCGAACAGGTAAACTTGACCTTACTTGTCATCATAAAACTCCTAATATTACACATAGCTATTACATAAAAGCTTTTTTCACATTTATTTACTGTTTTGAAGTACTGTTTTCACGAATATTCCCCGAGGCACGTAAATAGTGACAACATTTCTTTGTATTATATAATCTTTTTAAAATACGTCCGTTTCCGCGTAAATACTTTAAACCATAACATTTGCAATGTCATTCATTCTTAGATCAAAACAAGTCGGTGTCGGAGCTGCGTAGATTGAACACGAAAATTCCTGGACGTAGGAAGAGGTGATTCTATCCCAATTTCTTAGTGCAGGTGTAATGTAGGCTTGCTACAAGTGGTATAAAGCACAATTTAAAAAAAATATCTGTAATTTTTCAGTTAAAGTACAAATTATTTATTTATTTTCAAAATAAGAGTAACTTAATTTAATACTGAATTTACTTATTCTCGTTTATACTTAATATTCCTTGTAAGAAGGTCGAAATTTTGTTGTAATAAACAATGTATACAATTACCTGCTGCTGTATATTTTCCTTTTGCTCCAGTATTGCATTGCTGCTTATAATACTTATTAATAGCTTAAATAAAACATTTATAAAATTAAAATATGAAAAAATAACTAAAATAACACTGGATTAACCCAAAGGCGAAATCCAACAACAACAACGTAGAACAACTTAAGGAAACTTAGGTCTAGCCATACCACATGACAGTATGAAAAACAACAGTGCTGGCCGGGCTAGAAGGTATTTCAATGAATTGTATTCACCAAAGTTGATAACCTAATGTAATTAATATATATAAACGTATATATCTCAATAAACAACTACGTTCTAAGACATTAAACAAATATATGGGGCAGTATGTAGAAAGAATTGCGTAATACACCATAAATTTATATCTACCTATTCGCATAAATACCAGGATAAAGCGAAGGTTAATTTACATTTTTATGTACGAAACGTGTCAAAACGTGTCCGCCTGAAGCAGTGGAGTTTTTCATTGTGTAGTATCTTAGAATTATTTGCAATTTTTTTTCTTATTCGCTTACCTATAAAAAACCAGACATGTGCTCGTCCATATAATTGTTGCTTAAACATTTCACATAAAACTCGTCTGGCAGCAACCACATAGAAGAGGCCAACAATGATGCGAGCGTCTTGACGTCTTAAATTGCGTACAGCATCAGTTGGGTCGGATAAAAATGACTGCCTTGTAACAATTTCTATGCTTGCTTCCATGCATCGCTCTTCCAGATCTTCAACGGTCTGGAAATAAGGCAACAAACGAACAAAAACTTTATTTTAATTCTAGAAATAAACAAGGTATTGCTTTGCATAGATCCGAGTATTTAAGAATAGTCATAAAAACTTAATGCTTAAGTTTAAAAACAAATCGAAACCATTTTTATTACAGAATATTTATGTTGGAACTTTCTTTTTTCATCTTATTTAACGGAATTCTGCAAACAGCATTTTATAGAACCTCTAACGTTTACTTCACTTTATTATAAAATATAAATTACATTCGTATCCCTTAACGTATGCATTATTATCCAGAACCATACTTTTAACCAAAATTTTATATAATTTTCACTTATGAACAGAAACTGCAATGTACGTTTGTGTAAGTGCAAACGATTCAGTTGCATAATTTTCATCTACGATACCGCCAGCGCCCCCATCATCACCACCACTATATCAATTTAGAAAATTTTAAAACGAATTGATTATGTAAAAACATATCTATACGCACATTTACATAATAAACCGTATATCTTTGTAGTTCAGTTAACTTTTTCATCTTTTACTCTACGTTACCCGGTCATGATAAGTTTACCTTACGTCTTGTCAGAATAATGGATACCGATTCATTTCGAATAAAAATAATAATAAAAAAGTCAAATGTAAAAATGAGATATTTTACTACATTATTTCACTAAACAAGAACGAAAAAATTTAACTACAAAAAATACACGGTCACACGATTCTATTGCGAAAAATTCAGCCATAATTGGACAAACCTGATCCGGATTGTAAAAATTTTCTTATAAGGAAAGAATGCAATGACAAAATTTCCTCAAGAGGGAAATGAATGAACAATTTTAAAAATTTTACAACAATATTGAAAATTCAGTCATAATTAAAGATAATGATCTCCTCAGTGAGAGAAATTCGACGATAACCCAAATTATTTGAAATATATTTAATTAATTAACTGATAATCCCGTAATACTCCAGGAGTTACATTTGAAATTAACAAGGGAATTTCAACGATAAGTCAAAAGGGCAGTCTCTATTTTGATCATAATCCAAGACATTTCCCTTCAAAAAAATGAATAAAAAATGAGATACATTCGATCATTTTGAGAGAAATGGTCGACCATAATAAAAAATTTTAGCAAAATAACAAAACAAAGAAATAAGCTGAATGATATTGCAAAAGTTGGGCTGCAATAGTCGGGAAAAATTAGTTGGGAAAATGTAACTTTATAAATGAAATCCAGCCCTACCTTAAAATAATTCAGTCACTTTGAGACATGTTTTATAGCGAACGAATTACCTCTGTCACGGCTGTATCGGTGATTGATTGAACTATAATACGATAAAAGAAGCGTTAAGCGTCAACTCGCCTATAAAGCGAAAAACTCTACTGTAATTGGCAGAATTTCCTCGCAGTAGGAGAAGCTTTGTGTCTAACAAGCAAGACAGAACGGGTACCTTATTAAGCGAAAAGTAAGAAAGAGATCGATTGGGAAAAATTTAGAAATAAAATCGACCAAAATTGACAAATGTAATTACAACGCAAACAAAGTTAGTCTGTCGGTTTTACGAAGCTATAAAAAGTTCAACGTAGAAGTCACAACTAGAGCATATGTCCAAAAATTAATCTGCCTTTATAGTTATAACAATGCAAACGAATCTTACAGGAACCTAAGTCGCCTGACATTGGGTGTCTCTGCGCTGGGTATTTAAGATTCGCCTAAAGTGAACATTGTTTTTTTTAATTTGTTTCTTTTCAGTTTTTCTTATTTTCCTACCGCTGCTAATATTTATTCGTATGCCCTTAATTGCATTTCATTTGGGGTGTTAAAGTGTAGTAAAAAATAGAAAACAGAAAGAAAATTTACATGTGGATGTTATGTGGTAGCTTGAGCATACATTGCATTTCATATGCTTTCACCTATTGAAATTTATTTAGACATTTTTTTTTTTAAATAGTTATGAAAAATACTTTTACATACATGTTAAAGAAAGGATTGAAAATTTTTGAAACAAAGCAGAATTCCTTAGATAACTTACGAAGCGTTAGAAAACTATATATTTACCACGGAAAGATAAAGAGATTATCGCTTTCATTTTTTCCATCCAGATCCTATAACTTAAGAATTTTGGGATCGGCGCAAGTTCCAGATTACCTCAGTTTGCCCACTTATTGCTGAAGCACTCATAGTTATAAAATTGGAAACAGAATGCTGAAACTTGGCACGCAAATTCTTACATGACGACAAACATCAAGGTAGAAGAGCAGTAGCTTGAATATTGGGAATAATTTCATCATAAATATGCTAGCTATGCCAAGAACAATGACTTAATTAGGGTTTGGCGCACTGTAGTCAAAGAATGTGCTAGATAAGAAATTAACTGATGCAAATGCTTACCAAAGACAGCTTCTCCAGTCCAGAAATTATACTTCTTATCGATCAAATGGAAACTGCCCTTTCATCAAAACAATGTTGCAAATTTTAGGTATTTGTTTGAGACGGTACGTATCAAAAACTGTTACACTCTTGTTTCCCACTTGGTTCTAAATAAAGTTGAAATTTATTAAGTTTAGCAAAAGTCAATCATATTCTCTAGAATATAATAAACCAAAAATAACTTCATTTACTTCATTTAAATGTTTAATTTCAATTAGTTTTCTCTTCTTTATCTTTGCATTCAAAGCTAGATAGTGGAAACCTATACTTAATATAACTAAAAAAAAGTTTCTTTTCAATGTTCTCTAGAAAAGTTTGTAAAAGCCTTCAAATGACATTTAAAAGGCAATTAGGTAAAATGAGATATCTAAGATTGTCTTTGGACTGGATATTTATTTATATATAGAGTAGAATTTGAATTGATTAAATTAAATAGTATTTCAGGTTACCATTATTAAAAAATATTTCTTATTTGTAAAAATTTGGCCAATTTCAAAGTATATACTCTCCTCCACTTCAACACAGTTACAGTTGACGATTTTTCGTTGGGTTCTTTGATTTGGTTTTATCAACTATTAGTAATAAGGGTCGGAATCAATTAGCGCCTTCTTCTGATTCAGCTTTCAATGAGGTCTATGACGGATGGTTATATGGTGCAATAGGGTGATCATTTTTTTTACGAATCGTGGGTTGTTTCGAGAAAGACTTGAGCATCTTAAATCAATCCTTCCCATGTTTCCCGTTCTTCAATCGATCCTGCACGATTTCAAAAGCCTTTCAATACTCTCCTTTTGGTCACCTAACTTCCCTTTAATCTTGCGAACGGTTATTTTATGATCATTTTCATTAACCCTGTTTATTCGACTAAACACTTCACAGTATTTGCGGGAAAAATTTCTTTTTTAATCCAATCCTGAAAAATGTGCCTTATTTGGTTAATATTATAAAGTTTTCATACTTTTTACGAACGCTTGCAGTTTTTTTCTTAGGAGATACAAGCTTTTACCCCCTACATAAATATTTATTTTCACTTTCCATATTAAAAATTATGTGATCTGAATTAAGACCTGCAGTTTCACTTAATTTGCTTGTAACTGTTTTCAAATCTGATTGATATCGGATTTCAATTGAAACAAGCAAAAACACTATGGTGGACCACAGCCAAACAACTCTTCGTTTAATACACTTGTTCATATAACGAGTATTCAAAATAAGGCGTTATATGGAATGTGCACTTAAAAATGGCGCGACACAATCAATTTTCAATAACATTCGTCCATGGTCGATCGTATATCAAATGCCAAAAATTTAAACCCTTCAGCCAACCGTTACGGCAACTAAGTCAGTTATACTCGGAGCATGGATTCAGTACACATCTTGTTATCACGGGGAATTAATGATAATATATAACATATGATCTTATCACAAACGTCTGAATTATTGCGAAGATATAATTCACGCAAGTGTGAAACAATGTCGTTCTAGCTCACTGGCCGCATGAACTGCAGCGTAGCCGTTGCTATGAAATTATGCAAGTGCAGCTACTTCCCCGCTTTTTTGCTCTTTTGTTTTCCCAAATAGCTGAACAACATATTTCTTAAGGAACCGCTACGCAATCATCTCAAAACTGTCTTTTAAACATTAGGTAGAACATTGGCATGCGAATGGAGCAACTGGCACCCCCTTGGCAAATCGCGCCACTGATAGGTCTTACGATGAGCCAGCTCTACTTGCCCATAAACAAATAGCTTTTGTAATAGGTGAATAAGTAGGCGGTAAACTGAGTCTGCATGAACACTCGTAAAGTATCTGTAAACCGATAAGCTAGCCTTGTATGCAAATGGCTAAACAAACGGACCGATAGATCGGTGGGTAAACTTCTAAAGGAATGGCAAGGACTGATATAAATGATAGAGGTGGTAAAGTATACAAAGAAGCACTGCAAATGTCGAAGTGCAAAATTTCTTTAAGTCCTATAAGCTTGAAGACTATTTATTCCATGCTCTATCATATATTTGCGAATTCGAAAGCAGATGTATCGATCCATGCGTAACAATCACAGTGCTACAGTGTTATAATTGGACGTAACTAAAATACAAGTTCATTGTTCTCTTAATAGGAATGCTCTCATCTCAGCCTCCGTTTCCTAAAACTAAATTACATTTACCTAGATTTGTTTATTTCTATCCTACGCATGTGTGTCTTGCAGTTCGACTACATTATGCTGAATACCTCATTATCCCTATTTAGTAAATTCACTATACTTGGATATGTTATATTCATTATGATTGGCACATATGCACACACGGTGATGTACAGACTAAATGGCAATTTGCATGGGAATAGTCAAGTTTTACAATTTTTTCTGCACACAAATATTAATGCAAGCTTTCCTTTTTTGTTTAAAATTACATATGTGAATTATGTCTTCAAGATATCAATATCTACAATCTCATCTTTACTTCAGAATATAGCAGCGGCTGACAAGGAACCCGGCAGTCGCAGGTAAATTCCTGATCTGTGGTTGTTCGTAGGTGATTCGACTCGCATCGCCGGCTGGCAGATCTT